CCTAAAAGGCGGGGGGGGATCAGGGGTCCTCCTTTCAAAGGTGGGAAAGAACCAGAAGCTTTGAAAACATTGATCTGGTTGGTTTTCCAGCGTGCGTCTTCTCTTCACCAAAGACGCCCTGCGCGTGGGCCGTTTTTAAACGCTTTGGCCCCATAGCCGAAAAATGCGCTTCTCAAAAATAAATTGGGTTTCCCATCCACTTGACAATTGCCTTCCGGCCCTTTGTGGGTCACCCGCGAACCGCAAGGCTGGAATCTGCCTTTTCTTTTAGACCCCGGCCATGTTCTCCGGGGCCCAGTCTTGCCAGAGGAGGCTGAAAGGAGGCAGGAAAGGAGATCTAGTCAGTTTCACTGCTTTTTTTTTTTTTTTGGTTAATTTCGGTGCTGGCTCTTGGCTAAACCCCTTGGGGAACCGAAATGGTGGTTCTGCTCTGTAATGAAATCCACACAGGGAGAGCGCCGCGCACAATGCCCGGCTGGCCGGGGACCATGGGGTTTGTGGTCCGACCGGATCGGCGAGATTTCTTTCCCCCTCTCTCCGGGAAGGCGTTTTTTCTAGAGACGCCTCCCGGAACTCGTCCTTCAACGGGTGTAGCTTCCCTCTAGGGTGGGGGGCAGGCAGAAGTGCAACCAGGGGTGTTGGCGTCCCCTTCCCCTCCGGGAGCCGCCACCCTAGGTGGAAATAAACCCCGCTATTTAATGAATCAAAGGAAGCCACGTTTTTGCAATTTTGTGGCCTCGGTTCCTCTTCTTCTTTGCCCCCTTCCACAGCCCTGCTTGGATTTGAACTCCCAGGTTTCCCCTGGCAATCCTGGGAGCGGAAACCTGATATCGGCGTGGGTCGGTGGCTGCTTTGACCTGGGCGGGTGGCAAAAGAGAGTAATACTCGCGCTGCACCTGTGAAATTGCTGCCTTCTAGCAAGCAGCTATTAGAAGCCCAGGAGCCCCTCTGGGGCGGGCCGGGGAGGATCCCCAGATTGGCATGCAGGAACGCGGTTGGCAGCTGGCACAGGTGAGGGGCCACGACGCCCCGGGCTGCCGAGCGCGCAAGCTCGTCTCTCCGCCTGAACCACCCTGGTGTGGCGGCCCCGGGCGAGGAACCATGGGTCCCAGAAGTCAACCACGTAAACAGTAATTTTCTCTGGGGACTGCAGAGGGTGTGCCCAGGCGGGGGGAGGGAGGGGGAGCGCTGGTGGGGTGTCGCCCCTCCTTACGGGCAGGGTTGACTGGCACCCTTTGGAAGGGCCGCGGAGCCTTTCATCTGGGAGTCGCTCTGCGGTTGTGTTGAGATGCTCCGGTAGACTGCCCCTGCGCGGGGAGCTTGCCACTTTGGAGGCCACCCTTTCTCTCTCCCCATGTGCCCTCACCCACCCACGCAC